ACTCAAGTACCCTGCATCGTAAGTTCGTCCTGGTAACCCAGAGACTCCAAAATCCCTGAAATTAAGGAATATTCCTTAAATTATGGTAGGATCCCTTATATGATTTAAGGTATACTCCTTCATTAAGGGATATTGGAGTCTCTGGTAAGTCAGGAGGCCAGATCCTTCGGCAACCCTTTCACCTACTGCAGCCCTTCCTAATGACACCGATTAAGCTTGGAAATGCCATGTTACGGGACAGGTCAAGACTTTGAAGGTAATGCCAATGCTTTGCAACGAACATGGAGCCCAAAGTAGTCTCCCCTTTCAGACGTGATCTAGAATTAAAGTTTGCCTTTCTTGATGTTGATTTGGTTTGGGAGGGCGGGGTAGGTCTTCACAGTGCCCAGCATGGACCCTTGTTTTTTTGTTTTTTTCAGAGTTCGTTTCGGTTGCGGGAGTTTGAGGTTTTTGTTCAGGACATGGTGTTTGAAGCTTAACGCAGAGGATTCGTGATAGATCCCTAGGTTTTTGGGCATTCGGGATTTCATGTTTGGTGCCCAGGTGGTGAGATTGGCTTAAGGTTTCGGTAGCCATGATCAAAACCCCGGCTTGGGTTTTACAAGATTTTTCGGTGGGTTCCCGACGACTTCTGGATGTTGTTGCATACTTGCTCTTCGGGCTGACTCTTTGGTACTATCCGGTGCCCGTTCAGGGGGTGAAGACTCCCATGCCATACTTGCAACCTCGTGGTGCAGTCCGTTATTTTGGGGAAGTCAAAATACAGATCCAGAGAGCCTTCAAAACTTCACCAGCATCCCGATCAGTCCTGACTAGGTCCGACCGATCCCCAGCCCGACACTGTGTGTGTGTGTTTGTGTGTCTGTCTGTCTGTGTGTGTGTTTAAGTTGGAGGTCAAGGGTTTGGGTTCTGGATCCCATTGGGCGAAGGAGCGGCTAGAGATCGTTGTTAAGACAACTTCCTGAACCCACGCCGGAAAGTCTGGCTTAAGCATCGCGGCTCCACCGTTCCCTGCCCTAAACCCTAAACCCTGATTCCAGGATTGTTTTTGCCGACCCGACCCGGTAAGTTTTAGGCACGGCTTCGGAGTCTACACCTGGAGCGACAAGAGAAGCTTCGAAGGCTTTTGGAAGGACCGAGGGTTCAGAGGTTGGAGTTTTGGGTTTAATGTTTGTAGGAGCTACCGGTTAGGGTTAGGGTTTATGTGTTTCGGGGCTAATTATTGTCATCAGGGTTTGATTCGATCAGGAGTGTGGGAGTTTGGGGGGCTTAAGGGTTCAGGGTTAAGGGTTTCGGAATTTGGCGTGCATTTTTGAGATTTATCGCCTAGTCGACCGCTCTATAGTACTACAAGGATCGAACCTTTCAAACTGTTGTTCGGGTGGTTCGGAGGCTCACAGGGCAAAGTTTAATATTTCACAGCGATTCCAAATCATGTGAACAAACACATACAGACAGCCCACACGCTCCCACATCTCTTCGAAACCAGAAGCCACAACCATCCCGATAATCTCTAGACTTAGCAGCCACAACGCAGTGCACCCTAAACTTGTTGTCCAAGAACCCGAACCCGCCCCCTCTCGCAAATCCATAAACCTTGAACCCCAGACCCCAAAGTTGCACTAGCGCTTACGACTAGGGTCCCAGGGTTGCACGGAAACGGGTTGGGGTCTTAACCTTCACTGAAGATCCCTAAACCCTAAACCCTAAACCCACTGAAGATCCTCTGCACTGTGCACGCAGGATGGGAAGCAACATGGACCCGGCGTCAGGGACTCGGCCGTGAGACTTGGTTCTCGGGTTGACGGTCTTGCTCATGCCCTTATCGCCGTATCGCAATGTATGTATGGGTGTGGGGTTTAATTGCCCATGATGCGTGGGTTCTGTAGCTTCATTCATAGGGTTTTTCTTTCTGTATAATGTTGCACATATGTTGATTTGTTGCTTTTGCCTGTTGCACATATGTTGATTTGTTGCTTTTGCCGACTGTAGTGTGTGTGTGTGTGTGTCTGTGTGTGTCTGTGTGTGTGTGTGTGTGTGTCTGTGTGTGTGTGTGTGTCCGTGTGTGTGTGTGTGTGTGTCTGCGTGTGTCTGTGTGTGTGTGTGTCTGTGTCTGTGTCCGTGTCCGTGTCTGTGTCTGTGTCTGCGTCTGTGTCCGTGTCTGTGTCTGTGTCTGTCTGTGTGTGTGTGTGTGTGTGTGCGTGTGTGTGTGTGTGTGGGTGGGTTTTGTTTGCGTCGTTTGCATGGATTTGCGCACGTACCTCCGTAAGTACGTACATGTTATGTATATATATATATATGTATACATAAATATATGTATATGTGTGTATATACCTGTATAAATACGCATACAGTGCACTCATGCTTTTGTATGTGCATGGACACAAGCATACACACACATGGCACATACGCGAATGTGTAAGCATGCACGTACACATGCTCATACAAGCACACGTACACATACTTGTGCATACTATATGTATTTACAAGTGCATATAATCACATATGCAACTGCACATTTTTTATGTACATGCACATGTTCATATACATCACGTATACAAGGGCATATTCGGATGCATACATTGGGTGCATGTGTGCATGCAGGCACAAAGTGCCGACACATGCCTACCCACCTACCTACGTAGCTAGCTAGCTAGCTACCCTACCTACAAGCAAGCAAGCAAACAAGCAAGCAAACAAACACACACACACACACACACACACATATAAACATGCGTACATACGTTAGGTACTCAGGTTAGGTACATACGTTGACTACACACATAGACGCGTTGATAGATACACACATGAGTACCGTAATGATGCACGATTATGTTGTTGAGTGATATTAGAGTTTTGCGTACCATCAATGATTTTCCCTCTGGTATCTTAGAGTGCATTAGAGTATATTAGAGTATAGTAGACACTAAGTGGGAGTATCTTCTTAGAACCCTAAACCCCAAACCCTAAAAACCCCAAACCGTCCCGAGCCTCTCAGGTCATAAAAAGTGCTGAGGGCAAAGCGCTGAAAAACGGAACCTGGGAGAACGGGCGACTGGTGGATTAGGTTTTTAGGGGTGCCGTTTCGGGTTTAGGACTGGCAGGCGAAGCATGTAATACTACTACAATTGTTGTTGTTGTTGCTATTATTGTTACTACATTATGTATATATATATATATATACATATATATATATATATATATATATAGGTACACACGCTTCTTCGTTTTTGTATGTACATTTATAACTTCATTTACAAGGATTACAAGGATTGCCGCTTGAGGGTTCCAGGTTTAAGCATTTATGCTCTGTTAGCCTTTGGCCGGCACTGGGACCTGCGTCAAGGGATAAGTGCTATAAGGACTCTGCCCAGAGTGGGGTCTCAGGTGGATGTCTAGACGAGGTTGCGGGCTTGGGGAGGCAGAAGGCAGAACGTTGAAGAGCCTATCGGGCTAGGCTTAGTCTCAGAACCGAAATTATATGAATGAAACTGGTTCATCAGTAAAGACTCCCCTGGAAGCCTTACTGTTGCATTCCGTACTTATAGTTACAGCCTGGAAAGCCCCAACGTCTCTGTGGAAATCCCCGGCTTAAGAGACACATATATCTACACAAGCATAAGAAACATAACATAGTCTATATACACATTAAGCTGAGGCAGCTAAGGCTGTCATGAGCGTTCTCGCTGTGCTTGCTTCTCCTTTGCTTCTCCCTACCGGCTGATGGACAAAATCCTGCATTACCCATTATAAGGAATGTACCACTGTTCCCATAGTTTAGAGTCCTTAGGGTCATGCAGGATTTTGTCCATCAGCAGTACCGGTGGCCTAAATCGTCGAATGAGTCCAATGTGACTTCGATGCATTTGGGCGGTTTCAGACTTAGGGTTTAGGGTTTAGGGTTCAGAGTTTAGGGGCCCAGGGTTTAGGGTTTAGGGTTCAGGGTTTAGGGGCCTAGGGTTTAGGGTTTAGGGGTTGCCTTCGTTGGCTGAAGCCTCGCCCCGTGTTCACAAAAGGTGAATGGGGGGCGAAATCCAAACGGGGCAAGAGCAATTCGGGCTTTAAGGGCTTAGGGCTACAGTTTACAGGAGTTAGGGGAAGTGTAGGATGTTTGTTTTTTATGGTTTAGGGTTGGGCGCTCTTTCGTTGCTTGTGCCCTCACTCACACGGCATCCTCGCAGGGTGGCCGCGGAAAAGTGGGTTCAGGCGTAGCAGTCCCCAGACTGCCTTGCCAGGCTTCGGAGAAATCTTGAGGGCTTCCATAACTAGAATACGGTTTCGGCGTATATCATACGATAGATATAAAGTAAAGAACTCATGTGTGTGTCTATATATATACTGGTATATATAGATATTCTGGAACCCTGTAGGGAATGTGGGGATGACAAGTGCGGCGATGCAGCAGGGCTTTGGGTTTGGAAGGCTTAGGGTTGTCGTCAAGGAAGCCGTAGGAGCCGTCGTCGTCGATCGACATGCTTCCCACCGTTGCGGTTTCGGATTTAGGGTGCATTGGCGCCCTG